TGAGATCCCGCGAAGAAACCGCACAAAAGCGGGGCCTCGTGTGGAGACGACATGGGAGCACGAAGCGACACCAGATATGATGGTCATACGGGATTCCTGGCAAGGTGCTGATTGGGTCGTGAAGGTCATGGCAAATTGAGGCAAACGAATGTCAGGGGACCTCCAGCTTGCACCAATCAACCATGGGTATAGCATTCTCGAGCCCCATTTGTTTCAACTCATCTCAGGTCAAAACCGAATGCATCCCCAAAAAGCGCCGAAAAATCAGCTGAGCATATGTGTCAGGGAAAGGTGATGAGAGGACAGTCCAAGCCGCAAATAGGTGCGGCAAGAAACCTGCTTGATTCTGTATCATTAGTCATTGGCTTGGGTTGTCGCAAGGGCCTACAAAGAACACTCGGGCCGGGGTTGTGACGCATGTTGAAACAACATCGGTTCATGATCATGAGAAGAATGTGAAATTATTTGGCCGTCCAGGATATTTGACTGACCAGTGCTTGGCAGTTCCTTTTTCCTTCATTGAAACATAGTCAGGCCCTTTGCCCAGACCTTAGCATGAAGGTTTCGCTACTTGTTAACCAATGAGAGTTTATCATATCAGTTTTGCGGTGCTTTGTGTTTGAATGCATGTAGAAATCAGCTAAAGCAAACATTGCATACTTGCATACTATGAATTCTTTTAAAACAGGAAACACCAGGGCCCGTATAGGTGCCCTTTCTGAAGAAGAACCCCCCCCCCCCGGCCCGCAAATGGACGTTGTTCCTCGGGCAACAAATCCAGACGTTCGGCTGTGTCTTTCATTGAACCCCCCCCCCCCCCCCCAAAACCCCCGAGCCCCCGTGTTGTGCTTTTTTGTGTGTTTCGGGAAACCCCCAAAAGGGAAACCACTTCGGGCAGTTCCCGTATGTGTAAACACCCCTCATTCAACAAAAAACGGGCATCCGCAGGTCGCAGCCTCCGAACTTCTGCGGAAAAGAAAACATGGCTGCGAGCTTCTCGTCGAGTCCGTGAACGATGTTCCGTGCGGATTCCGAACCGGCGAGTCCACGTGCGTTTTTTGAGATCCTTTTGCGGGCGGAGGTAAACCCACGCACGAATCTTCCTTGAAGAACCCTGCCTGCATCTTCCCCGGTGTGCTTTTTTTCTGCCCCTTAGAAAAGAAACAGGTTCTTTCTTGGAGGGGCGGTTTTTCAGCCCAGGGGCGGAAATTGCAATTTGCCCGCTCCGGCAGCATTTGGGCACAGAAAGCGTGCCTCTCAGTGTGGCATAAACCGACCTGTGCACATCACGCATTTGAGGCGCCCCCTCCCGTGCCAATCGCAGCAGTTGATGTGCAAAACAGGCATGCTCCCTCGGCTGCTACCTGGAGCCGCTTTTCTTGAATGTTCTTCTTAGCCCGCAGAAAATGGACTTTTCAAGTTGCAGCCATGACGTGCTGAACATAGCGAAGGCTGAAGGCTCAACCGGTAATATCGCAGGATTTTTGTCGTTTGTTGCCCTGCCAGGCCAACTTCATGTTATATAGGGTCCTTCTGTGCGACCTGCCACGGTTGCTTTTTGGACACATGTGACTTCAGAGGACTGGGTTCACTCACGACTCATGGCGGTTTGACCCACTGCTTTGTATGCAGGATGGAGGCCCTGCCCTGAACAACGAGCAGATCAGGGATAGTGCCACAAACCATCGAAAGCAAGGGCTGATCAAAACGCTGCACCTTTACCTGAGCGACAGTGGTACTTGTGACAGCCAGTGCCTCAATTTCTGATTGTGGAAACGCCTTGCGGACAAAGCCTTCAATACTGTTAACTAGGGTTGAGTTCGCAATGCTCACCTTGGATCCGAGACCAGGCCCAAGCTCGAACCAATTGCCTTGCCACCTTCTGCGTCCTAGGCAAAATCTGAAGCTGGCCCTCACGCTGCCACCTGCAGCAGGTATTGCTCTGACCCGGTCATGGACGGTAGAAAAACACCGCGCGCCGTTGCAGTGGCTTTGGCGCTCTTGCGAAAGTTTGACATTGCCCGGCATGAACCCCCGAGCTCACTAACATGGATCGATCCCATTTGATTACAAGAGCCCCTTAGTTACGTGCTTGTACACGTTTGTCTGCCATGGAACCCAAAAGGGAAGACCCCAAAAATAATTTTCCTCTAAGATTTGTTCCCCCTCTTTAGGTCCGGTTAGTTGAACACACATATCAACTATATACTGGTTTCAGCTAGGTTCGATTCGACTTTCTTGCTTCATGTCATGAAACCCTGAAATGTGCAAACGCGAGTTTCATGAAACCCTGAAATGTGTGCAGCGCATTTCATGAAATTTTGCAACCCTGCGAAAGAGCGTTTCAAGAAAGCCTGAAATGAAGGTTGAAGCGCGTTTCATGAAACCCTGAAATGTGTCATGCGTGACTGCGAAGCGGCGAAGCGCGGTTCATGAAACCCTGAAAGGGTCACGTCTGTGAACTATGCACGTTTCATGAAGCTCGGAATTCGCCACAGCGCATTTCATGAAACCCTAATATGTGTTACTGTGAAAGCGCGTTTCATGAATTGAGGGCACATGCCGTTTCATGAACCTGCCACTTCGCGAGTCCACAGTTCAAGAGTCGATCCCCGGACCAAATTTCATGAGTTTTTGCGGATGGGATTCATGAGGCCGGAACTGTCAAAATTGTCCGGGGCGGTTTTTGCCGGTCCCGGGGCGGTTTTTGGCGGTCCCGGGGCGGTTTTTGCCGGTCTCGGGGTTGGTCGGGTCTTCCGGGGCCAGGGCTCAAGTAAAGATGGAACCGCTTTTGTCGAGGACCTTTTCCTCGTCGACCCTTGTCGAGGCAGCCCGGGCACCACCTTGAACACCTCGAACGCGAAGACCGAAGAAATGTCACAGAGTTGCAAAATTTCATGAAATGCGCCGCACGCATTTCAGGGTTTCGTGAAACTCGCGTTTGCACATTTCAGGGTTTCATGACATGAAACAAGAAAGTCGAATCGAACCTAGCTGAAACCAGTACATAGTTGATATGTGTGTTCAACTAACCCGACCCAAAGAGGGGGAACAAATCTTAGAGGAAATTTATTTTTGGGGTCTTCCCTTTTGGGTTCCGTACAAGCACGTAACTTGTAGAAAGATGCGGCATTCCGCAAATCCGGGGGCTCTTGTAATCACATTGGATCGATCCATGTTAGTGAGCTCGGGGGCTTGTCAAACTTTCGCACGAGCGCCAGCCACTGCAACGGCGCGCGGTGTTTTTTCTACTGTCCATGACCGGGTCAGAGCAATACCTGCTGCAGGTGGCAGCGTGAGGGCCAGCTTCAGATTTTGCCTAGCGCAGCAAAAAGTGCCGAAGCAATCGGTTCGAGCTTGGGAGCGTTGCGAACTCAACCCTTAGTTACGCAAGGCGTTTCCACAATCAGAAATTGAGGCACTGGCTGTCACAAGTACCACTGTCGCTCAGGTAAAGGTGCAGCGTTTTGGTCAGCCCTTGCTTTCGATGGTTTGTGGCAATACCCCTGATCTGCTCGTTGTTCAGGGCAAGGCCTCCATCCTGCATACAAAGCAGTGGGCCAAACCGTTATGAGTCATGAGTGAACCTTGCCTGCCCTGCGCAGTCCTCTGAAGTCACATGTCCAAAAAGCAATCGATGGGAGGTCTCCCAGAAGGACCCTATATGATGTGAAGTAGGCCTGGCAGGGCAACCAACGACAAAGATCCTTCGATATTACCGGTTGAGCCTTCAGCCTTCGCTATGTTCAGCATGCTAAAAAGAACATTCGAGAAAAGCGGCTCCAGGTAGCAGGCGAGGGAGCATGCCTGTTTTGCACCTCAACTGCTGCGATTGGCGGGATGCGCACAGGTTGGTTTATGCCACACTGAGAGGCACGTTTTCTGTGCCCAAATGCTGCCGGAGCGGGCGAATTGCAATTTCCGGCCCTTGCCTGAAACACCGCCCCTCCAAGAAAGAACCTGTTTCTTTTCTAAGGGGCAAACAAAAACCACACACACACACACACACGCACACTAGGGAAGATGCAGGTAATGACCTTTGGAATCTTTACAGGGGGACTCTGTTTTTTTGAATATGGTTTGTGTTGGGTTCAACTTAGCTCATTTGTAACCATGATGTTCGCTGTGCGCGGCTGCATAAGAGAGCTCGACGTGTCGGAGCGATACGCAAGGGGCAGTTTTTTTGGTCCGGGGCAGTTATTTGTTTTGGGGTCCAAAACTTTGAGCCCTAAGCCCCGGGGCGAAAATTCGGCGCCCCCGGAAGATCTAGGTGTGATTATCTGTTAAGGGAACCATGACCGTAGGCCAAACAAACAGAGTTTGACCATGGCTCATGTAAAGCCACGAGATACAAAAAGAATCCCTGGTTGCCCATGCAGCATACTGGCTGGAAGCCCAGATCGTATATGATGGGGTGCGTTTGTGCAGGGGAATTAACCTCGAACATCTTCTTTTGACCAATTCCTTGGAAAAGTGAAGGGACCGGCGCCCCAACAGTGTACGGGTCTAAACTAACTCCAAGAATGCTGCGTGTCCATCCCCTCATCTCCTAGGTGAAACTCAATGTCACAGACTTTTTGAGTGCCGCATGCGCCCTGCGCAAACTTGGAGCTGCACAAAGGACTTGGAAACTAAAAGAGAACCCTGTCTCGAAACATAGTTTTGTGTCTGAATTCCGGAGTTTGTCTCTGACCTTCAAAGGGTTTCAAATATGAGAGGCTAAACTCTTACGAAGACTTTGATCAGTTTTTGTCAGAATACCGTCAAAGGTTGGAGTCTTATTTGGTTTCGGTGTTGGTTTCAGTTGGGTTCCAATCATGTATCAGTGCCATCTATTTATCCAAAATGACACTCAGGCTTTCCTGGGCGCTAAACAGGCCATAACTCTTCATTTGTTGCTTCTGCCAGAAACGAAGAGATGACGGATGCGCGTTCATTTTTCCAAGCCCCTGTCGAACACCCAGCTCTCAGCCCGCCCAGCTTGTGTTTTGGGCGTGGAGGACCCGTTGGACTTTGACGACCCGTTGGAGGAGGAGAGCGAGGCTGAACCCGTGACCGACGCCAGTGAGTGGAGTTCTCCCTTGGTGGTTCAGCGTGTTTTGCTTTGAGGGGAGAGCCAGGCGGAAACGGCTCCCTTTCAAACCAAATGGGGAAGGCTTCTCGTCCCCCAAGTTGGAGCCCTGGAAACTGACGGGCCCTTTATCAGGGTCCATGTTTGAGGATACTTAGCCCTGGGGCTGTACAAGCACCAGATGAGTGGTCCTTGATGTGGGGAACCTGCGTCAGCACAGGCCAAGAGGCCTTTGCAGCTCAGGAACACCATACGTAGCTAGGCGTAGATCACAGCTACGTATTATGGTTGATTCAACCGCAAGGTTCGAATCCATCCTGGGTACCCAATCAGCGCATTGCTGTCAAACCGGGTTTGCATAGTAATCGCAGCCTTTTCGTCTTTGGTGTTCTTCCCCCCAACAAAATGGGACTCACACTCACATGTAATCTTCAGGAAACCCCTAGAAAACTGGGCTGGGGTGCCTCACTCCCTCCAAATCCAACCTTTATTTACTGGGAGAACCTGTCAAGACTTTGGGTGCAAACCCCAAGCTTGTGCCTTTCATGGGAGAAAGAAACTCCAAGTCCGCAATTCCCTTTAGCCACACACTGTCACAAAGCAGGATTTCTCTTTGCTGGCCAATCTTTCCAAGTTAATAGCACGCGACTTGTGATCCTTGGACAACTCACAATGGGATCTGCAAATGTGTGGTTTCCGTGTCACGTTTTCGGTTCTTTGGTCCCTCTCGAAACTCCGTTTCTAGACTTCAAGCTTTGGCCTATTCCACCTCAGGCTCGCCCAACTCATCCACTCAAGGAAAGGAATGACTCGAAACTGAATAATTGGTTTCCTTGAATCCCAAAAGAACCAACGCCCCAAAGCACCACCCCCGTTCACCACACAATTCCTTCCCAACCTCCCTGATGATTTCTTACCTCTCGAAGCAGCAAGTGGGAGGCGTCAAAGCGGCTGCCTCCCCTGGCAGAGAAGGAGTCGAGTGGGATCCTCAGAGAGAGACAGATTCCTTTTTGTGTGGGGTCGGGTGTCAGAAAAAATGGAGGCCTCATTAAGCACCTTCATTACATACCTCACATTGTCGAAACCACCTTGCTGGTTGCATGCCCTCTCGTTGCATACCCCGATGTGTAAATCGACAATAAATCATATCCCAAGGTGCCTGCATAGTAGACTTGTGCAGAGCATGTTGCTGCTGGACATGCTTGTGCAGAGTCAACTTGCGAGAGCTTGTCCTTTAGTGCTTGTCCTTTAGTTGGAACAGATGAACAGGTAGCCGGGCGACATTAATTCTTTCCCTGTGCTACACCTCGATACATACCTCGTTACTCAGCCGTTACACACCTCATTGCATGCCCAACCCCGGCCTGGGTCCTGCGGACCCCCTTTGTGCCATCACCTGGCTTTCACGCAACAGTTGCAACTTTCGAGGTGCGCTTTGCGTACGGCACTGGTACTGAGTAGTTGCGACTTTCGAGCGGGAGCTGCGGAAATGCCAAGCACTGTTTTCCCGCACGTACATACCTAACAAGAACCCGCAACAAGATTCATGCCACATCGCGCTACCCTCAAACAAACTCATACGCACACCAGAGTCTTTGTGTGACTACAAGTTTTTTTGGAAACCCCAGTCCCTCAAATGCTTGGTTTGGTTGGTGGTTTGGATCGCCTGCAAAAAGTGGCTTGCAAAGGGGCCCAAACCTTGCCAAGCCGCTCACCGGTGGTACTTGCCCAATTGGTAATTGACTGGCAAAAAACAAGCTGAACTGTTCGTTACCACCACCAGAGCTTCCGAAAAGTCTAGCCCAAAAACGTCGAGGTGAACCCCTTCTCTGTTTGTTTTTGCAGGAAGGGAATCATATGAACCTGATTGAATGGCTTTCAGTAAAAGGAAAACAGAGAGAGAGAGAAACATGACCAAGACACCGAAGTAGTTGAGCTGGGTTGGTCATACCTCTTCTGCAGAAAGGTCGAGCAATTAGCTCTCGGAAACGGACAAGAAGGCTAGCCTTTTGTCAGAAAGTTTGAGTTTGACTTGTTGGGATGCACTCGACCCTATCTCGAAAGCAACCAGCCGCCATTCTTTGACCAGCCCAGCGCCAGGCAGAGCTACAGCTGAAGCCAGAAGAGAAACCTCCCGCGGCCCAGAGCAGCACGGAGCTGGATCACACGAGCACGGGGGAAGGGGCGAGATGCCCTGACCTCGCCGCCAATGGAGGCCGTCTTGAAGGAGACGATATGGATCCGCACACTCTCCTTCTGTCCCTGTGCGATGGCTGGCTGTGACTTTACAGTTCGCTGAGAGCAGATGGCCGCACAGTTTCCCCACTGTGGTTTAGCCTCAGGATTCCAATTGCCTGCTCTACGTGTTTTAGTTCTAGCCTCTGCTTTCTGATTCTACTTAGTTGCTTTCACCCTGCACCATTCTGTGGAAAGTGACTGTCTTCGTATTGGTGTTGGTTACATGTGTAGGTCTGTAATATGTTGCTATGTGGGCATCAACCATAACTTGAGTATTTTCTCTGCGAACAGTGGTCTGTCTGAGTTTTCCCGCAGAATGATAACACAATGTGCGTATGTTTAAACGTTCAAATGTGGTATGCGTGTTCAACAGCTTGTGGGCTGCCCTTTAAGCTGGCCAACAGGGGCACCGAAAAAGACCGACACTGAAATATCGACCCGAAGAATGGGCTTCGGTTTTGGTTGTCCCTTACCTTGCAAAAGGGCACGAAACAAGCCACCCCCATGTGAGCAGCGGCCAACACCCCAACTGGCAATTTGTTTTTTGTCCTACCTGGTTTCATGGGGTTTATATAGCCACCTTGAAAACCATGCTAGAACCAAGAGTCAGCGGCATTTCATTGCTATATTTAATTGCTTTCTTCTTTTGGAGCGGGAGGGTGCTCATTTGGTTCGTTGAGTCGGGCTTTTGCTAAGGTGGGCCCACTGAACCGATGCCTTCACCTTCGATCGAGAAGCCGCTGCCGACGCTGGAGGCCCTGAGAAGCTTCGGATCGATTGCCAATGGATCGACGTGCGAGCAGCAACTGAGGAAGTAGGGTGTGTTTGTCTTAAGGTAGGACCCCAAAAGTGGCCGGCTTTCCTGTTGGTGTTCCTTTCATTACACCGACTAAAACAGGGGTCCCCCCAAGAAAAAACACCCATGCGTCAAAATAGGGAGCCCTCGAAAATGATGGTGTTCCCTTTGGTGTCCCTTTTGAACCATCCCGAGACGGGCACCCTCAACAAAGTGGCGTCAAATGGATGGGTCGTCAAAAAATGAAACGTGCTTGGACTCTGGCGCAAACACTTCCAAAATTAAATCAGTCAATGGTCGCAGACCACCGGTGAGCTTCCTGTTTTGGAGATTTGGAGTTGGGTTTCCTTTGAATTATATCCCGAAAAGGGCTCTACACCTTTTTCGTTTGTCCCGCGGCCTGGTGCAAGGTGCCCAAAAGGAAAACGGAATTTACCCAACTCCCACTGTAGAATAGTTAAGCCAGGTCTCCAGTATAAACCATAGACACCATTGATCCTGGGTCAATCCAGGGAGCCTTTGCGTGGGAAGAGGATGCTTCCCACTACCGTCTCCCCCCTCGCTTGGTATCACAGGATCTGCAATGCTCACAATTTATCAGCCCAAGTTGGTGTGTGTGTGTGTGTGCCTGGGTTTGTAATTATATATATATATACAAAATCTGTCAGTGCCCTTTTCACCTTGGGAGGCCTCCCAAGGAGAACCACAAAGTTTCGTTGGGACCCATTGACACGCACGCCGAACATAGCGGAGCCCTTCGAAGGAGCCTTAGGTCAGCACTGCTCAATCAATGAGCTGAAAGGGACACCTAGCACCTCCCGTACCCCGGCCGTCCGCGGGGTATGATTACAGCAGTTGGTCCAATTGAGTCTTTGATGTTCGGATCCATCATATGTGGTGACGCGGCTTTCTCTGTGGATTCAAAAGTGTTGTTGGTTTAAGAGACGAAAGGAAAAGGGAAAGTACAATTTCACCAGCGTGACTGCGTTCTACTTTTTAGTCTGTCTTTAGGGGATCCCACAAAATTGTGGTGCTGTCCAAAAAGGAGCAAGGTCCACCAAAGGATCCATTTGGACAACCTGACATTTGGAGGGCGTGAGTTTCTTAAGATTAAGCAGGTGTCCAAGCATGTCCAGACGGAGACGTTTCCGCTTATCCAGAAACGCGGGTGGCAAGCGTTTCTATTTGGTTTGGCTGCCATGAGGTGAGACTGCCAGAAGAGGGGCAGAAACCCTCTAGTTACGGGGGAGGGAGCAAATTTATGATGCGCTTTTGAGCCTTTGAACTTCAAGAATCTTTGCAATAGGGGCTGGCTGATTGCCCATCGGACCGTTTTCTTCTTCTTGCCCTCCCACCAATAACAAACATGAAAGTGCACAGGCCCTCTTCCACGTTTGTTGGCAGGGCACCTCTTTCTTTCTTACATGAGGACGGTGTGTTCGCGCTAGATGTATGGTTGCATGCAGGTTAACGCAGAATTTACAGCTGGGATTGTGCCCCATGCTTGGTGTCCCCTAGTAGTTCGTAAGGAGCGTATCTCCAGAGGGAGACTGCTACCACATGTTTCCCTTTTCTGATGCCATTGGGCTCGAAGTCTCGTCGAATCATCCATTCCGTCCGGTGAGAAAGGGGCCATGGCTTTGGGGCATTTGCCTGTGCAGGTGCTGTGCACGGCCCAGGATGCCTTTCGTTTTGAGGAGGATGCGATTGAAGGTCCTGTGATGCGAATGTCGCTCCATATGCACGTCCAAATTCGGCTTCCAGAGCTGGTGCAGGCATTGAGCAAGTGGCAACAGTCCCGGGAGTCGCGGGAGTCTGGGTCCTTGGAGCCGAACAGTGGGCCCAAGGATCTCGCCGAAACCCCCAATGTCAGCGATAGCGACATGGCCAGTCTCAAAACAGATCCTGAGCCGCTGCCTTGTGAAGAGCCCCGGCGGCGGAGAACCCGGCGAGGACGCGGGGGTCAAAGAAGGGCGGCCGTCAACGACCTGCGATGTGCAGCCCTGCAATCCGTTGAGCCTCTTTCCGATGCTGTGGATGCTGTGGCGATGTCCTCAGAAGCGCGCCCTGGGTACTTAGCGGTAGCCAAAGGTGATTCGCTGCAATTCTGTGGCCCGCCCTCAAGTGAAGGCAATGTCTATGCTTGGCGAATGGGGACAGACCCTGAGAGCGGCGGCTACGTTCCGATGCACGTGTTCACCTTGCGCTGATGGAAAGAAAATAAATCGAGGGTATTGTGCATGTGCGTGTTGGTTGGGTTGGGAAGCGTAGCAGAGCAAGTTAAATCGGACCCGAAAGGCGGAAGGCAGCTTTGATTACCTGGTTTCACCCATGTTTGACACAAAGGCCCAACTCCCTTTAGTGCAAGCATTGGGGATCGCCCGAGACATGCAATTAATTGATTGTGTTTGTATTTCTTTGGAATCGATGTCCTTTGGGTTTAATGGGAACCCAAAGCCCATTGTGAGGGCTCCATGTCATACAGAGGTCAATTAGAGTCCACCTTGAATCTCTTTGTGCGAAGACCCCTTGCCAATCCCTGATCCGAAACGAAGGCATCAAAGTCGGGTGTTTCCCGCCAGACCTTTTGACCAAAGTGGAAGTATGTCTGCTCTTGTGGGCCTATCAAGAGTGAATCCCAGCTCTGAGGTGCTGGGTCCGTAGGGCTTCATTGCCAACAGCTTCTGGGCAAACGCCGGAGGGTTTGGTGCTCTGATCGTCTCCCAGGTTTCTCTTTCCGAGGCAAAGAAGCACCCGAGTGGTGTCCTTTGACATACAAATCTGGAAGTGTGTAACATATAACACACACAACCCAATATGTGAAGCAATTTGCGCACCCAACCCCAACCTAACCCCCCCCCCCAAAGAAAAAGAAAGGCAACCTCCCCCCCCCAAACAACAAAGAAAGGCACCCCCCTAAGAAAAAGAGGAAAATGGGCGACCCCTCCCCCGCCCCAAAAGAAAAATCAAGAAAGAAGAAAGCTCCCCGTCCCACTTGCGCCGACCCGACGCCTTGCATGGCGCTCCTGTCAGGCGCAGTCCAGGACGGAGGCGGGGCCGGGACGTGGCGACTGGGGGCTGGGCACGAGGAGGAGTTCGATGTGTTGAAGGGATGATTTCCTTAGGGGGAACCCCTGCACAATTTCTGAGTACAAAGTTCTGCCTTAGATGAAATCGAACTCTGTGGAGATGTCTCG